TTTAAAAATGTTTTATTATCATTAAATGTTAATGAGTAAATCCCAATAGCAGAACAATAAATATTTAGAGATTTCCAATAATTTTGGCCATTGTAGCGGCTAATGTAGCGCGCTACATTTTACTGTAGCGGTAGCGGTAGCGCCCGTTGCAATCTAGTGGGTGTAGCGGTAGCGGTAGCGCCCGCTACAATTAGAGCATGTAGCGGTAGCGGTAGCGCCGCTACATTTCCAAGTAGCGCTGCCCAGCTCTGGCTACTGGTGAGACATTATATATTGATCCCGTTTGATACCGTGGAGGACCACAATCAAGCAGCACTTTTTTCGCCGTAACCCTGCAGGTACATAATACATCCAGAAGGGCTCAATATGACTTCAAGCATCAATTTTTTGCTAGCCAGTTCGTTCTTTCCCGTTGTTTCACTTTAAGAGATGCCTTAAGGTTTGAATTTGCTATACCGTCGTGCTCTTAATTTGTATTGTAAGCGTTCAACCTACTCTTTATTAGATGTGTACATTTACTCATCTGATTTGAAATAAAGTTCGCATTTATGAACATACACTCAACAATACGTCATTTCAACAAATAATGTCATACTTTCTTACACCCAAAACGAGCAGAGCGCGCGCGAAACACTGATACGACACTTCTCCGGACCAGACTGGTTGACCCACACGAGAGCAAATGTGCATCTATATTAAGACAGTCACCTTATTTTTCCGAGTGTTTAGATTAAGTAAACAATTTAAACTGGATTGTAGCGATTCTCACTACCGCAGGATAGCGCCGGAGAGCGCGCGTTGGCTGATCACTCAAGGGCGTGAGCAGGAAGCTGAGATCATCGTGCGAAAAATGGCCAGGTTCAACAAAACTTCCAATTTTGAAATCATCTACCTGGTAATAATGATTCTGATCTTGAAAAATACTTCATTTGTTGACGCCTAATCGCTTTATACGGAGGACAGCAGTAGTATAGATAGTGAGCCTATCACAACAGTTTGTCTAAACAGCTTAACAGGTTACCGATCATTTACCCAAAATCTTACCCCCGAATATTGAATATTAGCCAACAAAATTAACCAATTATCCCCCGATAAAACCTGATCATTTACAACAATTTTATTTAGAATCTCTGCCATCAAAAATTTGAGCACCTACAATTTTACCCCGAATCTTGGCCATCTAAGTTTTGTAAACGATCATTTACCAATGGTCGACCATGCACTCGCAATATTTTCAAATCTCTGTCGTTAGTAAATTTGATAAACGATTCGTTATTAAAAACCTGGGACATGTATTGGGAAAGCAGAACAGCTTCTAATAACAGATTTAACCAGCTTACTCCACTAGATTGAACAGCACCTCAGTTAAGCATAGTTACCCTACTTAATTCAGAACTGCATTTCGATACTGCTCATTAATACTGCTTTCGATACTGCTTTTCTTTCTCTGCTCTTCAGTTTTCTTTCGATACTGCTCATTAATAAACTGGATTGTCAGCTATGAATCACTCATTTCGCGCAGTATTACAACCGTTCACTTCTCTGCAACGACAGTTTCACACCCATTAAAACCTTCGTATGTGCTATCAAACTCATATAAATTGCTTGTGATACCAATCAATTCATTACCAACGTAAGCAGGTGAGATGCAAAACGGTTTACATCAAGGTTAACATCTACGGGATTCCCGATCCTGTCAATGCATCATTGACTGCGCACGCCGCCGCATGCAGCTAGCTCTACATTGATTTTGAAAAAAATTTCAGTATACACACAGATTCATTAGCAATTGTGCGTGAAGTTCAAAACTTAAAAAGGCATGAACAAACAAACATCCATAGAAAACGTCTAAATGTTAGCATATTAGCCAGTTTTTCCTTATATTGTAATCCTTGTAATTTAGAAATTTATGATACAGGAGCACATAAAATTCAGTTGTACGTTTTGAAAATAAATTTGAATGCATGCGAGGTGATATTAAGAAGGTTGTTAATGATCAATGCTCAGAACATATTTATCGTGATATAAGAACGATCGATCCGAAGTTATTGCTAAAGAATACAACATCTGAAGTTATTCAGGTAATCAAGCAGTCAAAATTCGATAATATTAAATCGCAGCTGAATTTGCAAGTCGAGTTTTATATATTCAAATTAGGCAGCGAGAAAATCTATGATGCCGCTTGTTTCAATTCAAACAGTTTTATAAAACTTTCAAGGATTCACACAAATTCAAGTACAATTAAAGGACTGTATGGTAACCTGATACATGGAATCGAAGAATATATGAACAACTCCTCTGTATGAATATAAAGCAAATTGCTAAACTTCACAATCAAAATTGTTGAATACAAACCTCTAAGAGGTTCTAGCTATATTGAATTGCCAGAAAAATTAAGACATTCAAAATAGAAGTAAATAAACATTAAAAACCAAGATAACATGTGTTTTTAAGTGGTCGGTCGCACGTTGCATCTGTACAGAATAACGAAAATATTTAAGAAGAAATCAGAAGAGTTTGATTTCGAAGATATCAAATTCCCTATGAAATTTAAAGACATTGTGCTCATTTATTAAGCTCTAAGCTCATTTATTAAGCTCTGCACTATAAGCTATATTGAGCTCATCACAGAGCTCATTTATTAAGCTCTACCTGAGGATCGAGTTACGTGACTAAGGTCGTGAAGGATAAGTAAGACACATCTGTCTAGATAACAAATCCTGATATAAAGGGTGGTTATACATGAGAGTTGTTACAGAGGTGTAAGCTATGGCGGCGACAATAAAGTCGGAGAACTCAACCGACCCATTACATCGCGAAGCGCTTATCAACTACTGCGGGGTGAAGGTTTCCGCCCACAACTTAGGTCTTGATCGCGTGATGTATCACGCGATGTCTTCCAGGATCACGTTCAGTACTTTTCCATCAATCTCTATCAGGTTTGTAAGGGGTCCCATGCCTTAAAAACGTCCCAATAACATAAGATCTAATCATATAATATAGTTATAATGATTACAATGAGACGCCAGACATTACATTTGACACCGTAAAATACATTTGAAAGGATTAATAATATTAATTATATTGAATTATAGCTTGAATTATTGTTTGGAGCTATGCCCACTTCGAATAACTAAAACTAAAAATAAAGATTCATTTTCATTATTATTAATAACAAATGAGAATGGAATTCATTCTATCTTGATGAGGTCTTTAAGTCCATTTATATCATTTTTTAAGTCCATTTATATCAAGGCGAGTCATAGAACTAAATACATCTGTAAATACATATAAATTTCTAATACATTTCAATACATCTAAATACATTTCTGTCTGTACATCTGAAGACCTACTTGAAAAACATAAAGATGATTGCTCTGTTCACACACCCGTCAAATATGTTTATAGTAATAAGAAACTAGAATTTAAAGCCTTTCAATAGACTGCCAAGCATCCCTTTGTAATTTTGAGTCGACTTTGGTAGGTATAGATTCAAGTCAATAAGCCCAAAAAAGAGATTCGTCCGAGAAAGGTTAAAAATATCTAGAAGCAGAAATAAAACGTGTGTATGAATTACTAAAGCAATTTACAAAAAAGATGTTCTTATCAAATGAAAAATATCACGTACACAGAAATGCCACAGTTTGCTATGTTTGTCATGAAGAGTTTCATAAAGAAAATTATAAGGTTAGAGATCACAACCACCAAACGGGAGATTACAGAGGTCCAGCGCATCACAATTGTAATTTTAAAATTAAAATTCATAATTTTATTCCAGTGTTTTTGCATAACTTATCCAATTATGATTCACATCTGCTTATAAAGAACTAGGTGGAGAGTCTGGAAAAAATAAATGCTATACCAGAAACAGATACACAAATACATAAGTTTCCCATAGATCATCAAAGTCGGGACATATTTAGATAAAAAACCGGAAGGGAGCGAGATATTACAAGAGATTTAAGATTCTTAGACACCTTCTGATTCATGTCATCACCGTTGGATACATTATCAAAAAATTTATCAGAGCATGTGGAATTGAAAGAACAATTTTTTTCACTAACTCCTGAAAATATTCAAATAGGGAATGTTCATAATTTAGCACCTCATCTTGGTAAGAGTGAAAAATATGTAATCAATTACAGTAATTTAAAACTGTATGAGAAACTTGGATTGAAGCTGGAGAAAATTCCTAGAATATTGAATTCGATTAAAGTCCATGCATGAAGCTATAAATAGCTCTGAACACAAAAAAGCAACAAGAAGCGAAATCAGATTTTGATAAAGATTTCTTCAAATTAATGAATAATTCTGTATTTGGTAAAACGATGGAGAACATTAGAAATGGAGTTGAAGTTAAAAAATAAAATAATCTAATAAAAATTATAGTTTACAATAAAATAAAATTAATAAACTAACATGAGCTACGTTCAACCAATAATAGTGAATATTTAAAGCAGCTGTAATAATTTCTTCGTAATGAAAAAACCAGAAGTGGCATTTATAACACGATGTTAAGGAAATTGCCACTGCCAGAAATGCATTTAAAATTTTCCTTCAACATTCAATTTGTGCAAGTTTCCAACGGTTTCAATGATAAGCATACCTACTCCTTCTGTGGCCCAGGCACTAGGGTGCAAAAAAACTGAATGAGTCAAAATAATGATAGATTATGCATCACAGACAAATTGTGCGGCTGCATACAGAGATTATAGGTTTTACATCCAATTTTCGTATTTGATGTCGTCGGCAAAATGAACGTCTTAAGAACAGTCTTATTGATATGAAGATTAAAGCTAAATTCAATAGTAACATTCCTGATAATACACATGCTTATGCTCTGATTCTTTCAGATAGAATAATTCAATTACAGTCTGATGATGAGAAAATAATAATAAATTACTAAAAATGTGGAAATTCATTCCGGGTTTATATCTTGATAAAATTATTTATTGCGTAAAATGTCAAAAAAGACTGATACCGAACGTGCTCAGTATGTTATGACGAAAAATAGTAAAATATCAGAGCGGATGTTGCTAGATTTGTAAGAAAACTAAAACTTTTTTTGAATCAGCAAAAGAATCAAATACGGAGGTTTTATCTTTTCAATTCCTACTGTTCTAGAGCTCAAGGCGCTGATGGGTCTCTCGCAGGAAGGGCTTCTGCAATAACTAGTGCAGTCAATAAAAAGAAAGCTGATGATAAACTTATAGCAGAAATGAAACGACATAATGAAGCAATGGAAGCTAAAAATGGATCTGGCTTAAGATTAATCCCAGCGAGAAATGAAATCTTCACCGAAAATAAAAACTTGTGTGGAAGGTCTCTACTTTGATCCACCATAAAAATAATACCTATTAGACCATTAACACAACATGATTTGAAACATTATTTGAGAGTATTGAAAGTTCCTAGAGTCAGAGATATTTTCATGATGGATGCACTGCCTAGGTCACCTTTGAAAACGTAGCTAGGAATTTTCAATCTGGACATGGAAGAGGGGACTGGAACGCATTGGAATTGTTGGTATAAGTAAAATGATACATGTTATTACTTTGATAGGTATGGTTTGACATGTATTAACGAATTTAATACGTACATGGATAAATACAACATTTTTTGGTCAGTATATAAAATATATAAAGTGGGTAATGTAATTTGTGAACATTTATGTTTAGAAATTTCAAAAAGACTGGAATATGAGAGATTTAATTCCATCCTATTAGATCTTTATAAGAATGGGTATTAAAACTTTTTTATTTCATTTTTATAAAATGGTGAGTATTAATATCTATGCTAATGATTTGAATCTTTCATCAACTTGCAAAGATGGTGAGGAAGAATCAATTGAAGTATTTCCCTCAGAGTCCCTAAAAGCTTCAATCGAAACTCATCGAAATGAACTTTCCGCCTTCAATTATTAGAACTCTGAGAGACGACTTACGAGTTGAAGGTCTAATACTGATTTAGGTTTGCAATTTTCAGAGTCTGCACTTTAAAATAAAAATAAAATTTTAGAGTCCATGATCGATTCTTCTGAAGGAAAACTAATATAACAATTTGACGAGAAAATTTACAGTTTGCAGTCAGCATTCCATGGCAAAGTCAAGAATTTGGAATTGTATGTTGAAGAAAAGCTAATCAAACAAATTGATGAAAAAATCCTCAGTTTGCAGCTAGCGCTCGATGACAAAGTTAAAAATATAGAAATGGATATTGAGGATAAAACAATGAAACAATTTGAGGAAAAGATAAATAGTTTACAGGTAAAAGTCGATGATAAGTAAAAAAATTGGAATTGCTTATTATAGAAAATTGAGACTGAATTATTAAAGCTGATGAGGAGATTCATAGAATATAGTTGGCATATGAATGCTCCACGAGTTCGGGAAAGTCTGTAGGCTTTAGAAGTTTTACTCTATTAAAAAGACTTATGTGAATATATTTGGAACGGGAATGAACAGTAAACCCATATCACATATAAGAGGTCCTCCAGGTATTGGCTTTCAGTACCCTGACGCTGAAAAAATTTTGTTCTGAATAATCGGAGACTTGAAAATATCTCTTGTCCTATTGAGGATAGAGATGCAGCATGCAAGGCTTATGTTGATGAGGAGGTCGTAGAAAGCATTCAGAAATTACTAATAAAAAATAGGCGTAGAGAGGGATGGCGTCATGGTGCATATCAACTTTCACGAAAAAGAATTGCCTACAGTAAAATTAATAGTAGAAACATTTCATGGAAAAGCAACTCAGGAAATGACAGGTCTTGAGAAAAAGTAGCAAGAAATGATTGAAGTAAAACAGAATTGGAAAATCTTGGTATGAAAATAACTCGGGAAATGACTGAAGTAAGATCAAAATTGTGAAAACAAATGAATAATTTGAAATCCTGATGATAAAGTATCCTCATTAGCAGGAATTCAAGTTGAATTAAAGGCATATATTGATTGTGTTGAAACACGGGAAGATGACAACATGAATGAAGTAGCAGAAGTAGTAGAAAAGACAAATATTATACTAAGTTTATAAATTTATCAAATGTATCTATATTCTTGGTTAATAAAAATGAGATCTAATGTGCAAAATGAAATAATTGAAAAACAAGAGATTATAAATTCACTCTTCCTATAATGTATTTACTCTTCGGTTTACAAAAGTAATTCCTTCATTCATTCCAAAGGGCTAATGAAGTTTGATTAGCCCATTAAAAATATTCGAAAATACAGAGTGATTCATGAGATGATTCACGTACAGAGATGATTTTTGTACCGTTGGATTCGTCAGAATGTCAGCTTTAAGATGAGCATAAAAACCGGAGAAGCCAAAATCTTTGATTTTTGACCAGACGCTCCCCTTAAGCTGATTAGACAAACTGTTGTGATAGGCTCACTATACTACTAACAGCCTTTACCCAGATGCGCTCAATAATCTAAAACATTTCACGGCCTTGTGTTCACTAGTACACTAGTTATTAACTAGCGCGTATACGACTGGAATATCATTTTGCTTTGATCTTATATTGTTGACATAATCAATTATTAATTCTGTAGATGAGATGGCAACATTTGCTTTACTTTCGTATGACTCATGACATGACGATTGACCGTTTCAATGCAGCAAGAGAGGACCAATATGTCACCTGATGACGCTAAACAAGAAAGCAGAAACGTCTTGAATTTACTGAAAACGCCTAATATGAGGACGCGCTCGTTGATCCTTTTCTACACCTGGTAAGTTGGTTGTTATGTATTACATATATAATATGAACCTGAAATAAAAATTGAGTCATTGAAAATAAATCATAAAAATATAATACCACTCATAGCCTAACAAAACACCCCGTGCATGAACTGAGGGATTCGACGTTCATAAACTATACCTAGTAGAATAGCATTTTTTTTTATTTCTTCCCATCACTTCATTCTAATTGTTTATAACGGTAACTTATTATTGACTGACATTCCGTACAATATAAGAAGTCATAGACATAAGTTACATTTTGTATTTTGATTTAAATGACAGATAAAGTTGAGCCACTTTTCTTGAAAACCATTATTGTTACCGATTAGACATGAAAGCGAGTAAATTCAGTGATGCATACGGACGTCGGGAAACGGTGAATTGCATAATTTAGGAACATTGAATTTAAAGAAAGCAATGAGTTATGAATTCAGGTTCACGACGTCGATGGTCTACTACGGCGTCTCCCAGAACGTTGGCAACCTCGAGGGAAATATTTTCGTCAATTTTATCGCCACGATGCTCATCGAAATACCTGCAACTCTTCTAATTGCAATTTTTTTCGACAGGTGACTTGTAATTTATTTTCTATTCAGAGACTTTATTTAACTATAGGTTTTTGTAATGCAAAACCTATTGATCAATATACAATAGTTAGCTAAACGTGAAAATTGTTACCACATATTGCTTAATAAACCTCTACACGTCTGCTCGGTCGCTGCAGGTATTATTTTTCCTTCATTTTTGCTGATGGGCCACAAAATTCATTTTGCACACTATCTTGATACTCTCCGACCTCACCGTATTGCAGCTAATATCTATTGAAATTGTCATTCTGAAGATAGGTTTACAAATAAGATATTGTAATTTTAAACAAATCTCCAATATGTTATGATTGAATACTCAAATTTATTTCTTAATCGATCTTTTAATTTTTTCGTTTCTATCTTTACCAGACTTGGTCACAAAGTGTGTCTATTGGCGTCGGTTCTAATAGCCGGGGCTGGCTGCTTCATTACTGCCTTCCTGCCTGCCGGTGAGATGAACAATGATGTTGTATTAAGGCATATAGTAAGTTAAGAAGGAATTAAACCCGTGAGGATTCCTGCCTGCTGGTGAAAAGAATCAGTTACCAATGAAGGCTTAACTGATGTTAATGTGGAATTATACCTGCAAGGTAGGAAGTACATTTCTCAGTAAAGAAAGGGTTAAAAGATAAAACTTGCTTGAAAATAGGGTAATGATCCGCTGTCAAACTGTCGGTTTATACTTCAAAAAATATCACCTGAACTCGTATTTTCGATGCTCTACTGTAAGGTTGTTATAGTGATAACTTTAATCATATTGATCAGCCTCGATCAGCATTCATGGAAGTTTACAGTTTATGCATTCTGCTAAAACCTTTTGTCGAGTGAAATCCTATGTTTGGCCGGCAATTTGTCAGGAGGCAATATATATCTATAGATGGTACATGGGTTTAACTTGAGGACAAGTAATCGATGACTATGTGAGGGTTGATAAGAGACACTTTTTTTCTAAAACTAATATTGATACGGTGCGGATACATTACAGTGTAATTAAAGAGGTAAAGACTGGTATACGACCGTCAGACTTCGACCGTCAGGTCGGAGTAGAGACTTTAGAGACTTACTAAAGTGCCGAACCCTTTCATAAACTTAGTACTTCCGTCCACAGAGCTCCTGCACTCGTGACACATAAACTGTATAAGCAGTCGACTCAGCGTCTAAGACCAGCCCTCAGTGACACAGTGGACTTAAAGCTAACTAGGTCTGGTGGTAAATAAATGAGGATTTTTCTTTACTCCAGGACACTTTCCACCTGGAGCGTTTACAGCTTTCCAGTTTTACTATGCAGTTAATCAACATTCCGCGTGCTGCTTCTTCATTTTGGAGGAACGAATTGGAATGAAGGAATTGAGCTTAACCTACCCCCCCCCATTACTGCAGAGGCGTCCACCGCCATCGTGGTGCTGAGCCTCATAGGTAAGTTCGGAGCAGCTGCAGCGTACAGCGCGCTGTACGTGTACGCCAGCGAGGTGTTCCCTACGTCGCACCGCAGCACAGGGCTCGGCTGCTGTACCATGGTCGCTGGGGCCGCCGGTGTCATAGCTCCTCTGGTCGACCTGCTGGTATTGTATCTGAAAGAATAATGCAAAATAATAAACAGAATATTATGGTAACAATAGGTTCTATACCTAAAATAATAATGTAGAATATCTAAACACTATTATAATCATTAGTGTAGTTGATCAGAAGTTCTTCTTTAATGCCGGTTTCATTGTCGACCAGAGACTACTTCTTTTTGACAATTTTCTTATTGTTTCCTCCATTCGGCGTATTAGGCTTTTGATAGGAATCGGAAAAAAACATCCAGTTTCCAAGGGACATTTAATTATAATTTACAACATTTCGAATGACTACTTTCATTATGACTACTTACTTATGAATAACCTACCACTACTTTCATTATCAAGCGGAGAAAAAGTTTTGCAATAGTTGAATTTGAAATGATGTTAGCACCAACATAGGGACTTATGGATCTAGATTGAAATCAAAGCTTGAATTACGAGAACCTTTTAGACGTCCTTACAAATCCGGCAGTTTGCAAACTTTATTTGGAGACTCATGCTTGACGATGCGAGCATCAGCTATCGCCAGTCTTGTGGAGTCTGGGCATCTCATGACGATACTGTACTGAAAAAACTGCGCGTTGAGCGTAGACAGCTACGTGTATAAATGGCTGAACGAAACTAATAGAACCAGTCCAAAAATATTCGTACCAGTCCAAAAAAATGTTTGTACGCGGTTTTTTGTAGCCACTCGGCGGATGATGTCATCGCAGGACATAAACATGAACGCAGAATTTGCCAACAAGTTGTAATTTAACACATGATGACTTTCTGTCTGGCCGAAATATTAACGTTATAATAGTGATAATATAACATGTTGATTATATCATGCAATAGTGAATAAACAAACGTATGAGATTCACAGGCTTTATAGTTTTCATCGTTGGTGTTTATATTGCAGGAGATACAGAGGCGGTTTTGAAGTCATTGGATATGAAACATAGAGCCGTTCGATTACAGTCTGTGTTATTGGTGAGACAAGTAAAAGATCATCGACAGCTAATTCAAACTTATACATTACTTCGAATAATGCGCGTAGGTGTGCCAAAAGATTAACTTGGAGCCTATGATATCATAGACTTGCTTTTAACAATATAAGTTACATAACAATTCTACTTAAACCAACTGAAATATTTTTAGGTATTACATTGTAAATAATTACTTATTATAAAATATTTAAGTATTATAAGTATTTAAAGTACGTACCAAAAGCATTCCTGGAAGTGCTAGGAATGATTGAACGCCAACACTTCGTACAACATCGATCAGTTCTTCATGCAACCAGTTATGCAGCCCTGCGCTAGCACGCGACCAGCATGTGGCGATGGAAGATGATGGTGATTTTAAACTTTCCTCAAGTTTTATATTGTTCCGTCTCTAAAGAATAACAGAAATAAATGATATCTAAAAAATGTAGGCGCATTAGCACATTTTCATTAACTTATCAAGTCACTATATATAAAACTAGGTAGAATACCTTGTTTTAATTTCTTAATGCATGCGAGCTACCGTGATCAAGTTGGTTAAGGCGTCGCTCGGTCTGAGGCGATCTCGGGTTGGAATCTTGCGGCGGTCGGACGGTTCCTCCAGGAGAGGATTAGAGGTAAATAAAAATATAGGGTCAAAAATAATATGTCTATATATAAATAAGGCTGCTAGTTGTAATAAGATGCTCATATAATGAAACTATCATGATAAACATGTATAAATAAACCCGGTCATATGTAAACATGATGGGATATGTATAAAGAGCCGTATTGTAATGAGCATTAATTGTCGGTATTTCCATACTACAATCGGTTTTATGCATTTTATTCGGAGTTGTTACCCCATAATATCATTAAGGGTGGGTTTAGAGCCTTGTCTACATCTTGCATATGAATTAATACACATTTATAGGCCCGAGGGACAGATCTCAAAGTTACAGACCTTGACCTCACAAGCGGTCAAAGTTGTTGAGAAGGTAGTGACCAGGAAGTTTGTCCAGTATATGGAAGAGGCTGAACTGTATACTAATAGACAACAAGGTTTCCGGTGAAAACGTTCCTGTTTATCAGTTACTGCAACACCATCACCGCCCGCTTGGTCTTTCCTTGCTTCATAGTTTGAAATTTAGATGTCTTTAATTTTCCGACGTCTATGTTTTCGGTAAACTCCTGGAAAAGTACTGAACGAAGTAAGCGAAAGTCCACAGCGATACAAAACTAGCACTATTCGTGCCTTAATACATAGAACTCTTGAAACCTGTACATCCGCTAGTGCTTTGAGAACTGAACTCCACATTGCACTGAGAGAAATTTGACCACTGTCTCGAGACACTTAAGTGTTTCAGTAAATGATACGTGTTTCGAGCTTCGACGCGCTTATATTTGTGCGGCTAGCGTCGCGTAGACAGTGCCGCGAATGCTGTCATAGGAGATGGTTGTGTGGAGCCACTGCCACGAGTCTACACTGCATTCGGTTAATTGGCCCAACTAAATTCGGTTAATTGTTTCAAATCACTGCTGTTCTTTTGTCAATAGTAATGTAAACGAGCGACGTCCATACCACTCAATCACACTAGAAGTTGATCATAAAATCGAAGATTTATCTGGTAGTACCGCGCGCAACAACAAAAAAAACACTGCCACACTATGTAGTTGCCGTCTCCGTAGCTGAATGAACTAAGGTGCCTGCTCGCAAGCGTTTGGTTGCAGTCGTGACAGAGGTTCGAATCTCGGCGGGCGACTCACAGTTTCTCCAACGAGAGTTCGATAGAGGTGAGAGCAAAAAATGTAGTTTCATGATGGTAGTACATACCGAAATAAATTGTGTAATATATATGTGTATAAATGAATGAATTTGTGACTAATTCAGCTGTGAAGGAGGAAAGCGTTGAAATCGGATAGAGACGGTGATATATAGTTTTCATAATTTTAATTCGATCATAATTCGACGAAATCGGATAGAGGCGGTGATATATAGTTTTCATAATTTTGGTAGGGAGGCGGCCATAAAATAGAATGGGATCGACCGGAGGAGTAGAATATGTTAAAGTAATTTCATCAGGCGCTGGAAACTGGATAAGGATATTGCAGAGATTCTGAAAAAAATGTCTCATTCTCTATAGATTTTTTTGTGTTATTACGTTCGTTCGAAACACCAAAGTGTCTCGGAATCTCACCTTTGAGATGATCCCAAAAAGGCCTCTCCCAATTCGCTTTGGGCACGATCGCTCGGAGAGGCCTTGAAACACTTAAGTGTCTCGAGACAGTGGTCTAATTTTTCTCAATGCTGATCTCCAGCGAATTATAGTAAACAACGGTTATGCGCATAATACTATTGACACCAAAATTGCAAACTATCGAGTACTTAAAAAACAAACGGACAATGAAGTGAATGAACCACCAACCAACGGAAGTATTATTGCAGTTTATTACCAAAACCAGATCACTAGAGGCTAAAGACAGACGAACGAGTCCTCAAATTAATTGTGCTGAACATCAATAGAAGCACAACCGCAACCGACCGAATCAATCTCCTGATTTAATATAAAAACACGAATCTTAAGACTCTAATAATGAAAAATAATTCATGCAAAAAGTCGGGACCGTTACAAGAAATCAATGTTATTTATAAATATTCATGCCACAAATAGGGTTGTAGACTTCGCCCGTTGTAGATGTAAGTTACATCGGTTTGACCAGCACGTCTATGAGCCGACGCCTAGCTTGCCACCTTCAGAACGGAGAATTGAAGAACCACATGAGAGAGGCTGCAAATGAGACCCTCACTCGCACGACGTCGTAGACCTACACCAGCATCGTCACGATATACCCAGACGCCACAAGACAGGCAAAAGCTGATGCTCTTCATCATTAAGAATGAGTCTCCGGTCATGAATTTGCAACTGCCAGATTTGTAAGGACGATGAAACTTTTATCATAATTCAAGCTTTGATTTCAATCTATCTCCATAATACCCTAGGTTTGTACTAACGAAATTTCACAATTTCAAATTCATGTGTTGCAACATTCTTCCCTCTCTCGATGATAAATTTGTTGCATTCGAAACGTCGTAAATTGAAATATAAATGTCCCTTGGAAACCTTATATTTGAAGTTTCAATTCCTATCATAAGGCTAAATTGTCGAATAGAGAAAAACTATAAGATAATTGTCAATAAGAAGTACCTTCTGGTTTTCAATAAAACCAATATTATAATCATATATCATCAATCAAATTAAATAATATATAACCTGCGAGTGCATTGCAATTTAATATGTTAGGAAGCCAAACTGACTTCAGAAATGGCAATATCTTTAATAGTATATTATTAATTTCTGTATGATATTAATATTTTTAATGAAACAATTAAAGTAGCTTCACTCAAATTTTTTTGGTATATCGCATATGCTTACAGGGAAAATCAAACCCCACTATTCCACTGCTCATGTTTGGGGTTCTGGCAGCGATATCAGCCTTCTCCATGTTATTCCTACCGGAGACAACGGGTTGCCCCTTAACGCAGACTCTCAGTGAGAGTGAACAACTTGGCTCGTAAGTCAGGTTTTACAGGCGCGGAGTTTAAACTTAACTGGTTTTCATGCAACTCATTATCTTGGTCCTATATGATTGCTTAAAATATACTGTTATTATTACATGGTTTTAGTGTTCGGGATAATGTCCAAGTATAGCCCTTTATTTGCTTCTGTGTTTTTGACAGAGGTCAGCCGTGTTGCTTCTTCCCCAGCTGCACCTCCTACGACCCGCGGTCTGCAGGGGAAGAGGAGGCAGATGAAGTTACGGAAGTTATAGCAGATAAAGACAAGGTCGACGCAGAACTTGCCGCAAAAAATAAAAAAGACGTAAAACTTGCTGCAAAAAATGAAAACAGCGTAGAACTTGCCGCAGAAGAAGATGACGACATAGAACTTGCTAACACAAAAGATGATATCAACGTAAAGCTTGCCGCGAAAGATGTAAACAACCTAGAACTTGCCAGAAAAGATGAAACCGACGTAGAACTTGCCATCACAAAAGATGATTTTAACGTATAACTTGCCTCGAAAGAAGAAAACAGCGTAGAACTTGTCACAAAAGATGATGACGACAAAGAACTTTCCTAAAAATATGATGACGTAGAACTTGCCACAAAAGTTGATGAAGACATAGAACTTGGCGTAGTAGAAAAGAACGTCTAAGAACTTAGCTTAACAAAAAATGAGGACGACGCGTGTAGAACCCGCCGAAGCTAAAGAAATATAGCTCAGTACTCACTGCGGTGAGTGACAAGCGCGCATTTTCTCATCGACGAAAACGTGAGGTCACGGACGGATAGACAGACGGATAGACGGACGGACATGGCGAGCACAATAGTGCATTTTTACCATAAATGAGAAAATGCGCTAAAAAGATAATGCTGTAAAACTTGTCGTACCATATATGAGGACGACGTAGAACTTGGCATTGCAAATCCAGTACGTGGACGACACAAGACTTAAGGTAGCAAATACAGATGGAGATGGAGTAAATACACCAACGCGTAGACACAACCGGCTTCTGAGAAGATGGATCATAGAAAACCTTCAACGCAGAGGATTACAGGCTAAAATACAAATAAGACATAATTCTGAATATTGAAGTTATCTAATCATTCATATATGAAGAACGTTTTGTTTTTTGTTCAGGTTGAATGCTTTCTTCTCTGCGTCCTTTAGCTCATGTAATGTGATCAGTTAAATAGTTTTCATTTCTTCAACATAGGACCAATTTATTTTTAATTTGGTTATATTATTGAACACCGAAAAGTTTGATCATGCGTGATGGCATAAAACTGTTAATAGATAAGTCTTAGATCAAATTTCGGAGAAGAAAGTAACTACCCTATCAAAGTTTTGATGCCTGTCAGCCGCTGGCTCAAGGGCACCCCAAGCTCGCCTAGCGGTATAAATTAGCGGCTCTATGTCCGCTTTAGGTTACGGTTGCAGGAGCGAAATAGGCGCCGAAACAGAATCTTGTGAAATACCTGTCGAGCTTGGGGCGATCGTGGGGCGCGCGTATTTGATACCTGATACGTTCGGGACAGACACGGTCAAATATGAAGAAATGCGTTAAAAATGCCCCATATCTTGCAGAATTACAAGACCCTCGCACATTGCCCGAGCAAAACAATTTTCAATATTCTCCAGCAGTCAGCTTTCTCACACATTTCCCAAAACCAAACATTCTTCAATATGCAATAGCACTTAACGATCATCATTCTCCAAATGCAATAGCACTCAACGATCAATATTGTCCACTATTCAATACCGCTCAATATTATCACACATTATGCCTGTGCGAAACATTTTAACACATTCAGCCCGCTGTCCTACCAATTGGTCTATCGAACTGATTTGCAAGAGTCTGTAAAATTCTTCCTACAGTGGTTGGTTGTGAAGAAGAATAGATCAAATGCTATCGTCGAAATTCCAGTAGGAACTCATGAGCTTCCTAACATTGTCATGTTCAATGGAATGTTTGGAAACTTATGCTCTAATAATATTAAATTCTTCGAAAATCAACCAATTCACAGTACTTCGATTTCACTCTGGTTCCAAACCCAATAATGCAACGAAAAACCAGCATGTAATTACAAAGAAGCAGTAACTTGATTACTTACGGACTTGAGACTAGGATTTCAATCCATGTACGCATTTCTCTTGCAGCGACATGGTGACTGCTTAACTAGTGATGACTAAACCCAACCATGCAGTTGAACTTGGGTGAACTGGCATTTCCACACGTGGATCCAGCTTTCTCGATGAATTAGAAATCAAAACCTGAAGTATATGGACACGAGCACTTAAAATATCATGATCATGTCAGCATATACCAGCAAATTAGCGCTCAAATGGGACGACTGAAATAGCCCAGCATTGCCCAATACCAGTATAATTTTCATACTTCACCCCATGCGCAAGCATGCTGCAGAGCAAATTAGCCAACATGATTACTTGCTGAAAGCCACAGGGACCAAACCCCTTCATGGATGTAAACCAGCGAGCCAATGAGCTGCAAGCCACCTAAACAATGGTCGTAACCCACACGCTAAACCCCAAAATATTTCTATTCCATGCAGTCTAGCCCCTTCCCCACTTTCGATAAAGAACTCCCTGCGCCACAGTGCTATCAGTACACTGCTACCTCTCCCGCTTCCCACCTGCTCCCCCTCCTTTCGGTACCAGCTTGCGGAAGAATTTCAACCTAACCTAACCCTTTCGCGGAAAGGTGGAGAGAAGGGGGTAAGTGCGGAGGAAGAAGATGCTGGTGAGCGTCAGGGCTGGGCAAACGCCTGCGAAGTGGGTAAGGTGATGCGACAGTCCGGTGCGGGGCCGTTCCCATTTACGGCAGTCTGGTGTGGTCTGCGGACCCTGTGGCTTATGGCATTTGTAAGAAGTGATGGTATGGGCTTAAATCATTGGTGTAGGAGCTATTGGGCGTAATCCGTTTGGAGTATCAGCTTGTGGGCTGAGGCATTGCTTGTTTCAAGCTGGTGTGGCGAGATGAGGCAAGTAAGAACAGCTGCATAGGTGTTAGGCTGACTATTTCTATTGCATGTGGAGGGTTGGCATTGGCTCTTGGGCTGATTTAAGAGTCAAATTTTTGGGCTACGGCAGCGCTCCCGTCAATTGACCCATCTCACCGCACAAACGTTAAACCAACACTGCTTCAGCTTGCAAACTGCTACTCCACATAGTTAACGGTCAATACGTCGTTCTCCAATGATTTTTAGCCCCTACTATCACTTCTTACACATGCTGTTATCCTAAGGGTCCGCTGACCATGCTGCATTGCCGCAAATGTGAACTGTACCAAAAAACGGTATTGCGTCATCACCTTTCTTACTCCGCAAGATGTGAAGCCAGCATTACAGTTTCCCTGCCTCTCATATGTTTCCCTGCCTCATGTTCAGAGTTACTGTTTCCCATAGCATTTAATAAGCTGCATGTAAAAAACGTTTTCTGCACACTCACGTTAGAAAAAATGTTCAGGCATACTAATCGATATCTCCTGAACATTATTAAGGTAAGGTAAAATTGAGGATTAAACGTTCCTCTTTGCGGAAGCGTTCAAACTGGGAAAGCTAGTAAAATACTTAGGTATTTCAAAGTATTAAAATAATTACGTGGTATAATAATCGTAACTGGCATCAGAAATGGACCCGAAATAGCGCATTCTATCACTTGAACTAGATTGAACACAATTTTGAACACAATTTTTACTGGGTAATCATAAATTAAAATGCATATCAATTTCCGATTCATTATTATATTAGATTGAATAGCCTACCGACATGTTTGCGCATGAATTTTTCGGTTTGCTCAGAAAAGCTGCCCACACTCAGATACTTCGTTCTGCAACGATAAACCCACAGTCGATAGTTCGCCATGCACCTGCATAGATTATTTAGGGAAATTCGACTTCCAAATCTTCGAGTGGTCGGATCTTCCGCGTTATGCAGTTACCCACACTAATCGAAATCGTTGCCCACATTGGCGATTGACTGGGACTGGAGCGACCGATCCAGTACTCAGCCGACAGTCCACGATCTCCTCGCCTACTCGGACATTGCCAGTTTCCCAGTAAAGATCGCGAGAGATATGATTAGACGAACACAGTATTAATGAATTATTATGAGCAACAAATTTCAATTCCCATATGGATGGCGAGGCCAACAATAAGTATCGATTATAGATAATGGGCTTTTTCTCTGGAGTGTCTTAATTGAATTGGCCGAAGGCCAGGAAACAAGTGGAAAACTATTTCCAGTACCTCGGACAGCTGGTGCTTTTGAAGTATATTCAGGGCTTTCAGAGAGTCGATTTTGGGACCACACCTGAAGTGCTCCGCCAAATCGTCAACCGTCCCATAAAAGCGCGTATGAGAGGTGGAGTAGGGCGGTAGCCAGGCGTATGGAGTGCTCGAGGCCTGGAGCCATACTTTCGAAACTCGCTATGCGAACGTAAGTACTTACGCTCTATTTTCTTGTCTATGATTGGTGGATTTTGCTTGAAAGGCCGTCAATGATTGGCTGATGAACTTACGATCTCTTAACTTTTCTTGAAAGTATGGCTTGAAAGGCCGTCAATGATTGGCTGATGAACTTACGATCTCTTAACTTTTTTGAAAGTATAGGCACTGGTCAGTAGATACTACATAGTCTGATGGAAGACTGTGGGACGGCACGCAGGCCATTCGGTTTTCTTTCAAGCTGAAAAATTAAAGAAGACGGGAGCGAATTGGCCTAAAGAGAATTTAGATTGAATTGAACAATGAAAATCTTGAAATCTCACTGCCACAATGTAAAATTGTGCGCGAAGGGAAAGAAATGAAAAATATACTTCAGAAAAAATATTTAAAGTGTAATTAGAAAAGGGGGCTTAGTCTCCTCGATTCGCTGAATAAATGCATTGCCGAATAATTGCATTTCGTTTTTCACAGTTTCTGTCATTTTCCTCAAAAATGTATACAAACAAAATGCTCTTGTATTAGTGTTTCACTTAAGTGAATGAAGTTTCAGAAAGATCAGTCAGTTAGTAGAAATTTTTAATTCGGAAGATAGACAATTCTTAATTCAAATTCTGACACTGAAACAACAAGATAAATGTTCATATTGAGGGTTAGGCGGTGAGTGGCAACAATGGGAAATCGTTGCCAGATCATCTGGTACCAGAAAGGGGACAATTTTGTGAATGCTTCATAACTGAAATGATCAATGAAACCGAAAATATTTGCGCACCATTTAGAAAACACTTGCGTTGCTCTAGTGTTACACGTTCCTCCGTATTGTAATATTTGATTTTATGAATAGAAATCAGAGGGGACTTTCCAGTTTTAGTTTATTTTCAGTTTACGGAGTCTCTCCAGATTTCAACAAGCCAATAATCGTCTCGGAGACCTGTTAAATCAAACGATGTTAAAAAAATGAACTGCACATAAAAATGTTAGAATATATACACTCCTATCACTGCCACAAACCGTGGTAGGAGTGTTGTAGCTTAACGTGTCTGATGACGGGTTCCTGCCCAATAGTAACATTTTCTCACCTGCTTAATTAAGCAAATTTGAAGGTTGGTCGGGGACGAAGCACTCACGCTAATTAGTCATTCAAATTATGGGTTGTCGGAAAAAGTTTTATGAACACTGTTGTCACCCATATAGGAGCATTGCGAGTGCCATGACAGTGCGACCGACAACGTGCGACGGGGCGATTGCACTGCACTCGTGGGACCGTCTTTCAGTTCCAACATAACCCTCTGCCTAACCGATTTACCGCGAGATGGGTTCTGTGACGAGGCTTCCCTTAGGCGAGACATTCTTCGTAAGCATTTTACGGAATTTTGTGTGTAAATTTACAGTAAAATTTTTAATGCTTAGTTCAAGATGAGGATGTAACGTACATTATACCTGGTATTTGAATTCTTGTGCGAAAAGAACCTTATGAATGATAAAAATGTTATTCGTCAGAAAAAAATGAAATTCTGGAATTTATTGAAGATATAAAGTGTCGTGGTCCTCCACGTATGGATGACTCGGTAGGTGTATGAACGACAGAAAATTATTGAAAGCTGAGCTTGAATTTCACTGCACAATACTCATGGGGAAAAAGACATACATTTACAGTTTGACGTCATTATTAGGGAGTGATTCGGAGTTTTCGTCACGATACACTGGGATGCAACAGATGCAGTTGTCGTCGCAGCAACTAGCGCTTGGGTAAGATTGTTTAGCTCGCTTCCCTCACCCGTTGAAAGCCTGTGGGCACCAGCCTCGTCGTCTCTGAAGAAAATAATATATACTGTATATACATATTTTTAACCTCACAGAATAAAGGCAATATTGAGGTTGTTCAGACAAGCTTAGCATGAAAAATAAAAAAAGGCCGGTTATTATCTAAATTCAGGTTCTGTTTATGCTTCTTCTTTTCGGGATGTGCACGCCGAGTGGACTTGAGACCGCAGATCGATCGATTTTGTGGTTTGGATTGACCGTTGGGCCGTGCAGTTTTAAGGGGACCGTCTACCCTCCAGAAAAATTTCTACATTTATCATCCGATCTTGCTGAAATTTCATACACATACGTAAAATGTAAGATAAAAAACAATTTGCTCGTATAAATTTTTCGAAAAAATGAAAGAAAACGTGAAATTTATAGAAAACGGCCAAAAAGGGGTACTTTAGAAAATCCATCTCCTTCTACAAATATCGTGCTACAACATCGAGACACGTATCATTCAATTTGTAACTAAATTATCTAGTGGCTCTATCATTCCGATTTTTCATTTTCTTTATTGTTTTTTTATGCGCGTTTTTCCCATTTTTCTACTTTTTCCCTGCCCTCTCCTCCTTCCCCCCATATATAAGACAAACCATGCACAAATTCAAAAAGTATGATAGAGTCTATAGGTATGGTCTTTACAAATCGAATAGTATGTCTCTCATTGCTGTAGCTTGAAAACTGTAGGAGGAGATAGGTTTGCCGTGAGAGAGGTTTTCATGTTTTCAAACTTTTCAGTAGAGGCGAAAAACCGCGGCGCGCTATGTAAAGGCATGTAGGGTAGCTTAGATACTGATGCGCCTAGAGCGTAGCTTCGAATCTGCTATCCGGATCAGCCATAACCAAGATATGAAATGTTACGATGCTTGCAATTTTACTCGAAAAATATATTTTCAGACAATCTGATATAATGATGCAATTGAAGTAATTTTCATTTATTCAGAAATGCGTTTACTAAGATTGAAGTAAAAATTCTTGAAGTCTTGACTGTTATATCTTATATATATTATGATATAGGATAACAGTGCCCTGGGGAAAGTTGATACGGACGTTCCAAAGGAGGGAAAATAATTTCTGCGAGCACAGGCCTAAAATACGTTGAAGTGCTTGATATCAACCTTCTTTTGTCAGCTGAGAGCAGATTAGAACGTTTATCCTATATTACACGGAAAACAGACCTTTAGTTAATTATCTTTCTGACTTTTCGTGAGGTGCAATCAAGTTATTTTATGAACTATATGCATGGCATTTTTTCTCACAAATTTTTGGAGGTGTCAAAGCCTATTGCCTTCAGAATATGAAACTGTTTTTTATAGTCCCACAAACAGTAGGGTGTGTCATGGCCGTTGTGGAAAAACAACTCTATTAATATCTATACAAACTCTTTTTGCGTACAAAAATTTAGGTATTTCCTTCTTCCTCTCCATTTATTTCAAAAACAGTCTCCTTTTTTTATTCATCCACGATTTAATGAATTTAAATTGATGTGATTAGACATCGACGATTCAAATAAATTATTAGTTTATTTGTTCGAATGCCGATGCACGCAGAAAGATTAATAACCGCGTACTTGATGCGGGGAATATTCTTCACGGCGTCCACGAGAAAACTTTCTGGCCACAGTAACAATAACTGTTTCCCGTCCATATTTCTTCAGTTAATTTCTTCTTATCGCATGTCCTACAAATATTTAGCACAGCACCGAGGTAGATAATATATTAACATCGAACTTTAACATACATCAGAGGATGATTAATCACACTGCCCTTGACTGCGCTGAGAAAAATCTTGACATACATATGGACAATCTTTCAGATTCTTGTATCTTTAAAATACTGATAGGCAAGATAGGCAGCTTTGTTTTTTTAGGGTGCAAGGAACGATAAGCCATACCCAGTTGTTCGCTGGTTTTGTTTTCACTGTGTCACAACTCCACAAATCTCTACATGTTCTCAACTAGTTTCTATAATGGCTACTGGTGATTAACGCTAACCAAATTCAATAAGGTAGTGTGAGATCTATTCATTTGAATGAAACATAAAAATTTCATTCAAAGCTGCAAATCTCAGATTTTCAAATCAAAAACTTGAGCTACAGATGCGGTTTTGACAAATAAAATTCAAATCATGTTTGCTTCGTTTCTGAGTTTGTGAAGTAATGGTTGAAATTTATTCGAAAAATTCCACTCTAACATTATATTTGCACTGAGGGGTAGTTCTATATATGATTAAGGCATAGCAGTGGGTCAACCAATGCCACGTATCGCTATTTTGAGGTAAAATTCTGTCAGTAAAAGTTTAGGAAATTGTCTTAGCGGCTCTGAACAGTTCTGCATAAATAGGGTCTCTTCAGTAGCTTGTAGATTTGATTCTTAATACAAACTACGCTCCGGCTGTTTCTACTTTCAATGAACATCAGACCCACATTAAAACCGAAACAGAAGAAAATTCATCAGTGTAATTTATTGCAATTAAGTGTCCTCACTCAAGCCTGGATTCATGAAAGCATGGCCAAGATGGACGTCGAAGCAACGCTCAACAGGCTTGGCGGCTTCGGAAGATCGCATTTGTTGATAGTTGCGCTGTGCTATCTCACCGCCTTCTTCACAGGCATGCCCGTGGTGCAGGATCCGTTCGTGAACTACACTCCTGCCCATAGGTAGTATGATTAGTCCTACACTCCTGTCCATAGGTAGTATGATTAGTCCTACACTCCTGTCCATAGGTAGTATGATTAGTCCTACACTCCTGTCCATAGGTAGTATGATTAGTCCTACACTCCTGTCCATAGGTAGTATGATTAGTCCTACACTCCTGTCCATAGGTAGTATGATTAGTCCTACACTCCTATCCATAGGTAGTATGATTAGTCCTACACTCCTGGGCATAGGTCGTAGGTTTACTCCTACTCTCGTGCGCATAGGTAGTATGTTTACTTCTATACTCCTGTCCATAGGTATTATGTTTACGCCTAAACTCCAGCGCATAGGTAGTATGTTTGCGCCTACACTCCTGCGCATAGGGAGTATGTTTAATCCTACACTCCTGGACATAGGTCGTAAGCTTTACCCCTTCTCTACTACCCATAGGTTGTATGTTTATTCCTACACTCCTGCGAATAGTTATTATGTTTGCTCCTACACTCCTGCGCATAAGGAGTATGTTTAATCCTACACTCTTGCCCATAGGAAGTATGTTTACTCCCACACTCCTGCCCATAGGTAGTATGTTTACTCCCACACTCCTGCCCATAGGTAGTATGTTTACTCATACACTCCTGCCCATAGGTAGAATTTTTACTCTCACACTCCTTCTCATATAGGTGCTATGTTTATTCCTACACTCCTGCGCCTAGGTGGTATGTTTACTCCTACAATCCTGACCATAGGTAGTATGTATACTCCTACACTCCTGCCCATTGGTAGTACGTTTGCTCCTACACTCCTGGGCATAGGTAGTATGTTTACTCCTACACTCCTGGGCATAGGTAGTATGTTTACTCCTACGCTCCTGCGCATAGGTAGCATGTTTACTCCTAAACTCCTGCGTATAGGTAGTATGTTTACTCCTACACTCCTGAGCATAGGTTGTATGTTTACGCCTACACTCCTGGGCATAGGTAGCATGTTTACTCCTACACTCCTGGGCATAGGTAGCATGTTTACTCCTACACTCCTGCGCATAGGCAATATGTTTAATCCTACACTACTGCGCATAGGTAGTATGTTTATAAATTGCTTCAGTAGTCTTTCTTCAGAAAAATAAGCCTTGGACTCTAGAATTTATACTTAAGTTCAAGTGTAGACTCAAAAAATTTCAAACCTGAATTATCATTAGAAAACTCTACTTGTAAGTCTGCTCTCAGTGTTTTCATAATTGAACTGAAGGTTGAATCTTCATTTCCAAGAGTTTCAATTCACCTTTTCAGAGACTAGAAAGGAAATACTTCAATTGGACACTTCATTTCTTCCTCGTCCTCTGCAAGTTGATGAACGATTCAAATTATTTGCATATATATTAATACCTCCCATTTTATAAAGAAAAATAAAGCAAGGAAATTCATGTAAAGATCAAATAGGATTAAATCAAATCTCTCGCACTGCAGTCGTTTTAACTTTGCTGAACATAAGTGCCCACAAATTACAGCATCCATTTCTTGTATTCTATAGGGTGACCAAATAATGTCATCTTTTTAAACTTGTTAGGTCACGTCGAACCATATCTATAAAAATAATAACATGTATCATTTTCCTTTTACCAAAAAGTCCAAAGCGTTCCAGTTTCCTCATCTATAGTTCCCTCGCCCCGTTTTCATACGTTACCTAGGAAGTGCATCTCTCATGAAAATATCTCTGACTTTAGGTACTTTTAATATTCTCAAATAAAGTTTTAAATCATGTTGTGATAATGGTTTGAGGTATTAGTGGATTCAAGTAGAGACCCCCAAAATATTTTTTTTCAGTGCTTTTTTTTGCTGGGATCTATCGTAAACCAGATCCTTTTTAAAGTCAATTTGTTTACTGTCGTTTTTTTCTGCTATAAGTTTATCATCAGCTTTATTTTTATTAACCGCACTAGCTATTGCACAAGCTCCTCCTGCCAGAGACCTAGCAGCGCTTTGAGCTACTAGGATAGCAGGCATTGAAAAGATGAGACCTCCTTTTGCTGATACAAAAGAAGTTTTACTTTTCTTACAATTCAAGCAACGTGAGTTTTCAATATTTTAATTTCCCATCTACAATTCTATATTGGTTATTTGGAATTTTATCACTAGTCTTAAAACAGGGCATTTAAATCATCACCTCTTTTTAGAGTTCAATCCTTGCACGACTCTATAAAGCACTTCGTGATAATTTTTCGCAGAATCCGAAAATATGTTTAAGGGGAATTATAGCATTAAATTGACCCTCATCGGCTCCTAACTAATAACATGTTCATTGAATCCATCATTTGATTTTTAATTTTTCTTTGTATCAATACTCTATAAGAACATCCTATTTTCTTTAAAGCTTCGTTCATAAGTTGTCAATCCTTTCAGAATTGTACCAATTCTAGGGAAGCTATAGCACTCAATTTCCTCATTTCCTGTTGTAAACGATACTCGATCGAATAAATACATCAGACCATCTATGACACTTGATATTTAATCCTTTTTTGAAATTATAATAACTATACCATCCTCTTTCGTTAAAGTTCCTTCGATGTAAGGACAACTTTCTGATGGTAGTAGAAACTGATCCTGATTCTGAATAATAATCTTGATATCATTGTGTTTCAATTCAAATCGCGATTCAAATCAGTTCCAACTAGGGGCGAATAATCATAGGTTTCCATTTTTGAATTGATTCAGCAATTTGAATAATTTAATTCTGTTGTAAGTTCTCCACTTATACAAGTAATTTTTTGGCTATAATTTACATTTCTTGATCTCGAGTAACATAGCACTGTTACCTTTGGTGTTCAAAAAATGTCTGTTTTGATCTGTTAACCAAATTTGGATATTATAAATAGAGTGTTGATTTACGGTTAGATAAACTGGTTGACTAGGATTCTCCACAATTTTATGTCCAGTGGGAACGCTTGGGAAAAATTTATACAAGACATTGCGTAAATCACCATCGAGATACCACCCATTAATCAGAGTGCAGTGAACAAGTAATCCATTCTTTATATTTACTATATTTGTGCTTTCATGTTCTCCAACACCTTCCACTACTTCATCATCAAGGTCTAACAGAGTATGTTAACTGTTATAGAAACTTTTATAATAAAGTCTTCATCACCGATTTTATTTTTATATAACTGGATGATACTCTCTAGCTCATAGCATTCTGTTGGAATAGTTATTCGAAAGCGGCTTCCCATACCCCTTATTCCAATATAATTTTCATTATTTTCTCATCGATATTCGAGATAGAATGATATGTCAGGTGACAATTTTGATACCATTCGTCCCTGGATATTTCCTCATTAATATCTTTCTTGTTGAAAGATAATCTCCTTCAATGCGATGTGTTCATAAATATTTCCTTGTATTAGCCTTCCCTGTTTATCAAGCTACGCCCGTTGTGACGTCAAATAGCGATGCTATATAAGATCTGTCTCAAGCGATTAACTTCATTCATGGGCGAGGACCGCTACGGTATACCCCATTGCTCCTGTCCATGTCACACAGGACAGTAACGCTAGCTCAACTTCTGAGTGGAGAACGCCCCGCGGATACACTCTTAGACTTATTCATTTCAACTGGACGCCGAAGACATCAATGTTAAAGCTCCAACTTATAAACTTAGATTATCCTAAACTGCAAGCCTAACTTTAATCCAAAAATAAATTCTATAATCGTTTACGCTGTTCCTTTATACCCTTGGATCCCGCTGAGGAGGAAATTCCAAAAATCTTTTTTTTTCCTCATAATTGCTAATTACTGTAGGCATTGAACTGAAGAGGTAGAGTTGACGGTCCGTGTTAGCTTCTATTTGCCTTGTAATTGCCGGATTTCGGCGGATTTTGGCGCGGAGTTGACGGGTCGTATTAGCCAAATCTTTTATTCGCCTCATAATTTCTGGATGTCGGCGTGGGCGGTGGGGCTATGTTTGAAGTATTATTACGATAACGGCGATAACGATTTTTCGCCGTTCTGCGCATCTCTAGAGTGACGTAGCACAAAATGTAAATAGTTTAGATCAACACATTGTTTTTACGTATGTCATATTTGAATTCATTTAAAAAAAATTGTCCTCATCAAAATATCCCAAAAAATTTATTTACTGCATGCAACTAGTCTCATTTTAAGCAAAACAGGTATTATAAATCGTTTTTACTTCACGAAGTGACTTCACACGAGCCAAGGTGACGTCACAGTTGGAATAACAAATGACATCCGCAAATGATATCCGTTATCCCTTTTTCTAGAATTTTCATAAAAATGCACAGTAACTAATGCGCGTGCAAAGGGGGCCGATACGACCATTCTGCAGAAGTGTTCGATGCCTAATGTTCCGGCAGTAAGCATGGGCTGTGCTCTATAAAGCAAAATTGTTAACGTCCCTTTCCCAGGAACTGAGTGCGCTTTTTTAAGGTTTTAGTAAGTGACTCATCGGAGAGGGGCGTTGGCTTTGTATGTATTGAGCTGGTTATACACACACTAGCAGTATACTCTGTCAGGTATACTGATTGAAGATACCACCTGTCAGAAATAATTCATTTAAAGAAGGATCTTCCAACGTGACAATTAGTTAAGTCCCTGTTTTAGAAGCCGAACTTTACTGATGATTGTTGAAAAACATTGTGAGCGCTCGGTAATGTTTCGATCGGCGACAGCACTCAAATCTTTGATCGTCAATATTCGCGATAAGATTGTGGATAACCTGTGGTTTAAGCTGTTTTTGCAGACTGTGATGATTGACTCGTTATTTATACTGGTTATTGGTGGTATGTTTACTCCTTCACTCCTGCGCATAGATGGATGTTTACTCCTACACTCCTGATTGCTGGCTGGTTCGATATGAAGGTGGTGAGCAATAGTGAAGGTGGTGCGCCATTGTGAAGGTGGTGAACGACAGTGAAGGTGGTGAACGACAGTGAAAGTGGTGAACGATAGTGTCGGTGGTGAACGACAGTGAAGGGGGTGAACTACAGTGAAGGTGGTGAACGACAGTGAAGGTGGTGAACTATAGTGAGGGTGATGAACCACAGTGGGGGTAGTGAACGACAATGCAGGGAAGATGATGAACTATAGCGCAGTGAAGGTGCTGAACGACAGTGGGGCAGTGAAGGTGATGAACGCAGTGGGGCTGTGAAGGTGATGAACAACGTGAGGCAGTTGTGGGTTCAACGACACTAAACTTGCGATCAGGAAAAAGATAACGCAGAAGATCCCAACTGATTTTCAGACAAGGCGGACATCAATAGAAATTGTTTTTATGAAGAATAACTATCAAAATGTTTCTCAGTTTCTGAACGAAGCTTTTGTGGTTATAAATTTTGTCAATTTATTACAAATAAAATGTTAATATATACAGATAATGCAAAACGACAAGATAATAACATGCGAATGCATAACAAAATTCGTGCATTGACATGCATGTGATATTAGTTATCATTTGACCGGCTCTGAATTACATTTGCAGTCAATCCTGCTGTGAGATAATTGTTTGTTGGCGCCAGATGCAATATGTAATTCCATGATCATAATACGCTTCACTTGAGAGGCATTCAAGATGAGATTATAAACACTGATTAGGCTCCTATCACGATCACTTATCTCGCTCGATGCTAGATGCTGATGAGCATTTTAATTTAACGCATTTCCTTACCTCAAACATGCGCTTGACATTGCGGTTGCCTTTGCTTTATATTAAAAGTTATTTTCCGACCGACGAATGAAATATTTCCATATTTTTTGATGAAGAACGCTTATATGAATTAATGTTCGTGCGAGCGAATTTTGCTGGTAATTATAGAAACTGTAAAACATACGAGGAATTTGAATGGCACTAAGCGTTACTAGAATCTCACAAGTTGCTCGAAAAATCAATTCGTGGATGCGTTGTGAATAAGTGAAATTAATAATTGTGTTAAGAAATAAAGCAATATTCAAACTAAAAAAATTAAAAATTCTAGGTCAAAGATATTAGTGACACTTCAGTAATTAGGAATCGCACTGAAAACTGTTATATATGAGAATGTTTTTCTACAGTTGTTATGTTTTGGTGGCAAGCGATTAAATCCTACAGTAATAACAAAGAATATTTGGCTTTTGTGGCAGATGTTACGTGCCGTCATGCGACTCCTCGAACACGACTTACGAAGACGACTTCCTCAACTTCACCACTCCTTCAGAAGACAACGAGTGGGACAAATGTGAATACCACTCCCCACTCACCAACGAGACGAGTGCCTATAATGTGCGATAAAAGTACAGATTTCCATGGGAACCGAAGCACTTTACTTTATAATCAAATTTCAACTCGTATCATGTTTTTATGCATATAAAAGATCAGCTGCTTTAAGAAAAGAAAAAATACCTGCTTTAGGTTTCACTTTCTCGTTCAAGATGGAAACCCTATAGTAGGTTCTATGATATATATATATAAAATATATATATATAAAATATATATATATATACCTCTCGTTTCACTCTCTTATACGTAAGTAAACTCTCGAAAAAATCACGTTCATTTCATAAAATTAGCTTCAGTGCAGATTAGAATTACCAAATATTTAAAACAAAGATTTGCGTAAATTTCCTCTGCTTCATTATTTTTATCATATTCTTCTCAGTATGCATCAAGACCCATCCAAATACTGGCGTCTCTATGGCGGGACGAGGAGGACGAGGCGCGGTCTGGGGGCGCGACGTGCGAGGCCGACCACTTCGCTGTTGCTGACGTGCGAAGCTGCGACCACGGCTGGGTGTACGACCACGAGCTCTTCCAGTCCTCCACTACTATGGACGTGAGAACGACGTGACACTGGGCATGACGTGACAATGTGCGTGAGAATTGCGTGAGAGCGGACGTGGCAGTGTGCCTGAGATCGACGTGGCAATGGACGTGACAATGGAAGTGTGAGTGACGGGGCAATTTGACATGAAATGAGTGGTAATTTGTAATTACACGCCCATTACAATTGTAATGGGCGTCAGAATGACTTGTCAATTGGCGTGACTATATATCAATTACACTGCATTTCTCATTGATCCTCATTGGTGTTTTTGATGTTATAAGTAAGGACGGCGAACGACTCTGGTCTGTACATTTCATATGTTCCTCAACACAAAATTATTCATGATATCATAAAGCCCGACGTGTTTAGAGTCTCTTTGAGCAGTTTGAGGGCGCCACTGTGCGATGTTTCTTTGGTAGCTGACGATGCGATATTGAATCGTAATTAAGTAGGACCTGAGTGTTGGTCCGGTTGTAGCGTGATTCGAGGATATTGAGGAACAGCATAAACGAGTATATAATATCATTTAGGATTAAAGTTTTTCTCACCGTTTAGGATGATCTAACTTTATAATTTGGATCTTTAACACTGATGTCTTCGGCGTCAAGTTGTAATAAGGATAAGTCTAGACTCTAGAGTATATCCGTATGTTCTCTACTCTGACGTTGAGTTGCGTTACTGTCCTGTTTGATATGGACAAGAGAAAGGGGTAAACCGACAGGTTTCCGGGTCTGGGCAGAGCTCATACAGCTTCGCCATTTGACGTCACCAAGGGCGTGACTTGATAAACAAAAAGGCTAACTAACACAAGGAAATGTTTATGAACATATCGCAATGAAGGAGATTATCTCTCAACAATGAAGACATCAATAAGAAAATATCCAGAGATGAATGTTATTGACATTGTTACCTTACACCTCAGTTGATCTCTTGGGTCTGAGTTTGCCGCGACATTATTAGATTATCATGAGATTATGTGAACACATTACATAATTGCGAGTTTACCACAACATTATGACTTGGATATTGTAATTCATTCACGTTTTCTTAATAATTGCCACTACGCGGACTTAATAATAATTAACGAGATCACGTGGCAGTTTGACTTGGTGTGCGACAAGTCCTTCCTGACATCCATGACGACGTCCGCCTTCAACGCCGGCATGATGCTGGGGGCCATCACCAGCGGCGTCATGGCGGACAGGCTTGGCAGGAGGGTGGGTTATAGGGCTGAGATCTGGCAAACCCACAGAATTATTAATATAAAATACTAGCCTGACTTTGCTAGGGTTCGTTAATCCCTGTAATCCTGCAATACAGAATCCAGTGAATATTATTGATGCTGATTGGTGCTAATTGAAGAAAGAACCACTCCATACTTCATTTTAAAATAAGCATAGAACTCCCATTTGATTCAAGTTTCAAAGTAGGGAAGAATTTCCTTCTTTTCAAATTAAATTTAAATATCCCAATTGAAAAATTAAATTGCAATTTTTGATCCAATCCTTTCATCCCGACACGCTAATTATCGTGGGTAGTCACCCGAACCGCCCGTTTATTTGTGGTTCCAGGCTGCAGACTCACAAACTTTGACCAATTTATACACCAGATATATATAGTAAAAAAGTGTAATTCCTAAGTTATGGCTTGATTTATTGAACCATCCTTCTTATGGAATATGAATTGCTTTACGAGGCAAATAGAACGTCCGACGACAAATTGTTAATGAACCTGAAAAGCTACCATCAATATTTATTTCGCTATAGAAAATGATCCTTCTTTAAGAGCTACGGTTATAAGTAAAATCCCGACGTACGTGCTAGCCTTGCTTCGTTATGTAAAATACAGGGTTATTCTAAATGATGAACCCTATTGAATAAATTTCTACTTATTGAAGTATAAATTCAAAATGAATAATGTATAAACCAATAGAAAGGAAAAGATGCATAGTTTTTTCATATATCTAAATGTTCAATATGTCCATCTTGCGCTGCACGGCAAACATCTGAACGGAAGCAAAACTCGTCCTACATAGGAGAAAGCATATGGAAATGAAGATCTGGCTCTACAGTACTGGCCACCGAGACCACCTAATCTCACCTCATGTGGCTATTTCTTATGAGGTTACATCGAGAAAGCTGTTTACGTCCCGCCTCTCCCAGCAACTCTGTTTACGTCCCGCCTCTACCAGCAACTCTGTTTACGTCTCGCCTCTACCAGCAACTCTGTTTACGTCCCGCCTCTACCAGCAACTCTGTTTACGTCCTGCCTCTACCAGCAACTCTGTTTACGTCCCGCCTCTACCAGCAACTCTGTCTACGTCTCGCCTCTACCAGCAACTCTGTTTACGTCCCGCCTCTACCAGCAACTCTGGCTGATCTGAAGAACCGTATCATATTGCTACGGTGCGCTCAGTAACTAAAGATACACTTTCTCGTGTGTGTGACGAGTTTGGCTACTGTTTAGATGTTTGCCGTGCAGCACTTGGTGGGCATATTGAACATTTATGAATTTCAAGAAATAAACTTTGAATATTTGTCTTTCCTTCGCTGTATAAATTATTCAGTCCTATTCATTCTTAAATAAATTATTTAAAACATTCAAATTTATTAAATTGGCTTCTTCATTTAGGATAACTCTCTAATACGCGCGTAGTTGTCGTACATGTTGTCGCTGGTGCTGCTGGTGACGGGGAGCTCGCTGGGAGCTGCCTCCACAAGCCCCGTGATGCTCATCCTATTGAGGCTACTCGCAGGCTTCGGCGACGCCGCCACCTACCAAATTATATTCGTTCTCTGTGCGTATAACTTTACTTTAATTTATAAAATATACCTTTTAAATAATTAAATTTATAGATATAAAAGATTGCACACTGATATGTAAACGCGTTTGAATTTTGAAAACTGTTAATTAAATGTTACGCAAAAGAACATCATTAGGCTGACGATTTCAAGTGCATTTTATGTTGTACATTAACTAATGATAATAATATTATGAACATCAGTAATAGGATATTAACCATACCATAATTTTAATATCTATGACTACTATTGGTGAACATCAAGGCTTTCTCGGCTGCTTGACACTGAATGAAGAACATATATTGGGGCGCATGCCGGAGGCCAATTTTGCCAAATTTCACACTTAGTTAATATTTCTTTACGTGGGTAAGAACGCTAGAGGGCATAACAGCCCATGAAGTCAAGTGCTCAAAACCATAGCGCCGGATGTCAACAGCCACGAAATAAGCTTGATAAGTTAAGCAGGGGCATAGTGCATCTGGCCTAACCTCTTCCGGCTTATCCTGTTCAGGCCTACCTACCCTACACAAGTCGCACCCTATCTCCGCCCAAGACAAACCTGAGCAGACTAAATCTAGCCTCATTGGCTGCTAGAAGTTAGAAAGGCGGTCCAAGTGCGCTGGTAGAGCCAGTCATTGGCTGCAAGAAGGTTGTGAGCCGGGACAGCGTGAATAGGTTGGGCCTTACGAGGTTAGGCCGGAGTAGTTATAGCCGGATGAGGAACTGCCTGCTTATAAGCGAGCATGCTTAAGTATTGGCTGAAGACGGCGCTATTATCTTTCGGCAGTGTGTTGGTTGTCTGGAATACGGAGTTCAAGGGTATTCTTCTAGCTCTGAGGCTGAGTAAAGTTAATGCATGGTGAAGCTGGGCGTTGGCTCCAGGGCTTATTTAGGAGTAAAACTTGTGGCCTACGGCTGCGCCCCAAGTGCAGCCGTACCCATGTTTGTACAACAAGGTAGACAACACCAACAGTCTGTGAAAAGGCACGCGCAGGTCAGGTGTGCATGCCCCAGCAAGTGCTGAGTAAATGCCCCAGCAGGTGCTGAGTAAATGCCCCAGCAGGTGCTGAATACATGCCTCAGCAGCACCGTAGCGTCGTCGGGCTGCTGATCAACGTAAGCTTCGCTCTGGGCGAGGCGGCCGTCGGCGTCTACGCCATCTTCATCCGGCGCTGGCGGATGCTGCAGCTCACCATATCCCTGCCTATGTTTGTTCTGGGCATCAGCTACTGGTGAGGCTTTATATATATTGCTCCCGGCATAATACCATATCCCTGCCCATGTTTGTTCTGGGCATCAGCTACTGGTGAGACTTTATATATATTGCTCCCGGCATAATACCATATCCCTGCCCATGTTTGTTCTGGGCATCAGCTACTGCATGGTGAGGCTTTATATATAATGTTCCCGGCATAATACCATATCCATACCCATTTTTGTACTGGCATCTGCTACTGGTTAGGCTTTATATCAGTGGTTCTCAAATTTCTTCATGCTGGCGCCCCCTTTCAACAGACACATATAAAAACAAACGCCTCTATCTTTATATTTAGTAGGCTGCAATTTTAAAAGAGAAAGGTAAAACACAAATGTGCATTGCGCAAAAAGAACCCCATTTAGTAAACCAATATACATATTTTTTTACAGTTTTTATATTGGTTTAGTATTGGTAAAAATATAGTAGTGGTAAAATATATTGGTTTAGTAAACCAAAATATTTGTTTACAGCACTAGAAATTCAAGACGGCACGGACAAATTTACGCTGGACTCGTGGCCGGTCTCGCAGCCGGTCTCACGGCCCATCTCCAAATTCAGTGACCAAAGAATATCTCAATACTAATAAACGCAGCTCGATAAAACTTGAAACAAATATTCATTAGGACTTAACTGTGATATTTAGCTCATGAAAAAATTTTAAATTTCACCTTCATTCGGGAGTTATATGGCGATATGGGCTGCAATTTCGCAGTGATCAAAGAATTTCATCAAACTACTAAACAGACTCGAACGAAATTTTGAATATAAATTCCTAACTACCAAACGGTGATTTTTGCTTGTGAAAATTTATTCGATTTGGAGTCATGTTCTGCGCGTGTTGTATGCAAATCGTCAAACAAGCGTACGAACTTTTGACTTCGACTTCGCGGACTGCCGCCCCCCTACTGCCCCTTTCTTCCTCACCGCCCCTCCATATTTTTCCACCGCCCCAAGTAGTGATATCGCACACTTTGGGAACCACTGCTTCAAATATATTGCTTTTAGCATGGTACCAAATCCCTCCCCATGTTTGTTCTGGGTATCAGCCACTGGTGAGGCTTCTCATATATGGCTCCTGGCATGATACCATATCCCTGCCCATGTTCTTTCTATAGGCATCAGCTACTGGTGAGACACTTTATATATTGTCCCAGTTTGATACCGTAGAAGAGCACAATCATGTAGCACTTTAATCGTCGTAACCCTGCAGGTATAGGATACGTCCAGTAGGGCCCAATCAGACTTCAAGCATCAAAGTTTTTTTTGGCAGCCAGTTCGTTCTTTCCCGCTGGTTCACATTAAGAGATGCTCGAAGATTTAAATTTGTTATACCAACGCGCTCTCAATTTGTACTGCAGGCGCTGTACTTACTCTTCATTAGATGTGTACATTTTCTCATTTAATTTGAAATAAAGTACGCATTTATGTACATACACTCAACAATACGTCATTTCAACAAATGATATCATTCTTTCTTACACCCATAACGAGCAGAGAGCGCGCGAAACACTGATACGACACTTTGCCGGACTAGACTGGTTGACCTACACGAGAGCAAAAGTTCATCTATATTAAGACGGTCAACTTTTCTTCCGAGTGTTTAGATTAGTAAACAATTTTAACATATTTTGTAGAGATTCTCACTACCGCAGGGCTGCGCCGGAGAGCGCGCGTTGGCTGATCACTCAAGGGCGTGAGCAGGAAGCTGAGATCATCGTGCGAAAAATGGCCAAGTTCAACAAAACGTCCAATTTTGAAATCATCTACCTGGTAATTATGATTCTGATCTTAAAAAATACTTCATATGTTGACGCCTAATCGCTTTATACAGAGGACAGCACTTGTATAGATAGTGAGCCTATCACAACAGTTTGTCTAAACAGCTTAACAGGTTACCGATCAATTACCCAAAATCTTACCCCCGAATATTAGCCAACAAAATTGACCAGTTACCCCCGAATAAAACCTGATCATTTACCAAAAATTTTATTTAGAATTTCTGCCATAAAAATTTGAGCACCTACAATTTTACCCGAATCTTGGCCATCCAAATTTCGTAAACGATCATTTGCCTACGGTACTCCATGCGCTCACAATATTTTTAAATCTCTGTCATTAGTAAACTTCATAAAAGATTCGTTATTAAAATTCTGGGACATAACCTGGGAAAGCAGAACAGCTGCACATAACAGTTGTAAAATAATAGATTGAACAGTGCCTCATTTCGCATAAATACTCTACTTAATTCAGAACTGCACTTTATTTCTTCTGATACAGCTCATTAATAAACTGGATTTTCAGCTATGACACATTCATTTCGCGCAGTATTACCACCGCTCACTCTCCTGCGACGACAATTTCATGCCAGATCAAAGCCTTCGTATGGACTAACGAACTCATATAGTTTGCTTGTAATATCTGAAAATTCATTACCAACGGAAGCAAGTGAGATGCAAAACAGTGCACATCAAGGTCAATCATCAAATTCTAACGGGATTCCCGATCCTTTCAATGCATTACTGATGCTGCACATGCCGCCACATGCAGCTGGCTCTACATAGATTGTGAAAAAATTAATTCAGTAAACTCACTGATTCATTACCGTGTTTCATCTACCTTGAAAGCAAAGTGTGAGTCCTGTTTAGGTTATCTTACTAACTCGATTACGCACACTTAATTAAATGAGTTTCATGAAAGTGGGAACAATCTTACAACACAATGGATATGGAATACATGTTTGAAACCAAAATTCCCATCACCAACAAATTAACCTAAATTTATCATTAAAAATTAGATTGAATTAAATCTGTAAAAAGGGTAATTCATAATGATTTAAATTTCAATTCTTTCAAGATGATAAAATTCATTCTCATTATTGTAGGTCTTCGTATGGAGTGTTTAACTTTAAAAGACCGCGTGTAATATCGGAAAATTCTGTGTTAACTGTAGGCAATATAAAATTCTGATTTTACTCTTAACTCGTCAATACCTAGATAGTGAAGTGGCCACCGACACGTTTTTGTAGTCGCTACACCAGGGTTCAATCCCAAGCCTCTCGAGAGGTTTTTTGCAGGTCGTACGTCAGTGGGCGGAGACATGGGAGGATCTACATGATACCATATCCCTGCTCGACTCAACGTGGGAGAAGCTGTGGGGTGGTGATTAACGAGGCGCACACCGCACGCAACTCATGGAAGTTGAAGGTGAAGTGTGCGCCAATGACGTTAATGCTGTCGGTGATTGACTATGCGTGTATCATGAAATTTCTGTTGTAGCGCCCACATGTACCTAGTATTCCGTACTATAGTTCCTACTAGTAAGTTACTTCGCTCTAGAACTAATTACCATTGTTAGCAATGACTCGGCTCTTATACGTTCAAGACCTACAACTACTGTTCGCCTTGTAAGTATTCTGTAAATAGTTTAGTTATGTGTAAGACCTTCACATATGAATATATTCTTATTACGTTACCGTTTTCCTGTTTTATAGTAGTGTTATTTTGTTCCAGGATGTTGCGTTCTTGTTGAATAAAGCTCATGTTGAGTTACCTCGGCTTTCGCTTACAACAGCGTGCGGTGTGCGTTAACGAAAATAACCGATATCAGTGATGGATTATGGGCACCCCGCGCCTAGCATGAAAGCTCCTTTTCATAGGAAGTAGTATGCATAATAGTCTGGTGGCGACGTTCGCCCGCGAGTATTTCATATGCTAACCGTTTGCGATGGCTAGGCAAATTAACTTTTAAATATCAATAACTAATGAACGTATTGAATGAACTAATGAATCTCTGTATCAGCTATTAAAAAAACAAAATCAGATTTCTAAAATATTCAAAAATCATTGTTATGTAACACAATAATAATGATTATAATGAGACGACAGATTGACACCGGACAATACATTTGAAAAGATTAATGATATTTCTCTTGATGTATATAGCTTGTATTATTGTATATTAGTTCACTTCGAATAAGTAAAATTAAAGTCAAAGATGTTGTTTTATTATTGTTAATAACAAATGAGAATTGAAGTCATTGTGTCTTGATGAGGTCTTTGAGTCCATTTATTCACAAGGCGAGTCATAAAACTAAATGCATCTGTCCATACTGCCTGCATGCATTTTTACGCGAAGACCTAATTGAAAAACCTAAAGATGATTGCTCTGTTCACACACCCGTCAAAATGTTTCTAGTGATGAGAAACTAAAATTCAAAGCCTTTCAAAAGACTATCAAGCATCCCTGTGCAATTTACGCAGATTTTGAATCGGCTTTGGTAGGTATTTATTCATGTCAAACAGACCCATAGTCGAATTATACGCGGAATATTAAAAACACGAGCCGAATAGTTTCAGTAGCTATATTAAGTACGATGATGGTAAGTACTCAAAGTTGGAGTTATATAATGGTAAGGATGCGTCTGAAAAATATGTAGAAGCAGAAACAAAACGCGGGTATGAATTATTAAATCAATATCCAAAAAGATGATCTTATCAGATGAAAATTATCAACAACACTAGAATGATACAGTTTGCAATGTCTGCCATGAAGAATTCCGAAATAAAATTATAAGTTTAGAGATAAAAACCACCAACGGGAGATTATAGGAGTCCAGCGCAACGCAAGTGCAATTTCAAAATTAGACATCCTAATTTTATTCCATCGTTTTTGCATAACTTATCCAATTATGATTCACTTCTGTTTATTGAAGAACTAGGTAGAGAGTCTGGTAAAATGAATGCTATACCAGTAACAGAACAAAAATACATAAATTTCACACAGATCATCAAAGTAGGGAAGAATATAGATAAAAAACTGGGAGGGAGCGAGACATAACAAGAGATTTCAGATTCTTAAACACCTTCAGATTCATGTCTTCATGGTTGGATGCATTAAAAATAAAATTTTCAGAGCATTTGGAATTGAAAAGACATTTACATGATAATGAATAGTTTGAATTGCTATAAAACAAAGGTATAATCCCAACACGATTCCATGGATAACATGGATAACACACGATTCCACAACATAACATATATCTGATAAAGAAGATGAACATGCTAAAGAGGTTTGGGATGTATTCATATGCAAAATATTCATAGATTATCATAATTTCTATCTCAAAGTAGACGCCTTGTTATTAAGTGAAGTGTTTTAAAACTTTAGAAATTTCTGTTTGAAAACACACAAATTAAATCCAGCTCATTATTTCACAGCACCATGTCTATCATTTGATGCTCTATTAAAGATTACTGAGATTGAATTAGACTTGCTAAACGATTCAGATATGATATTATTAATTGAGTAAGGTGTTAGAGGTGGTGTTCCAATGATTTCTACAAGATATGCTAGAGCAAATAACAAATACATTCTTAAAAGTTATGATCGTCAAAAACTAAGTAATTGTATATCATACATGGACGCAAATAATTTATTTGGTTGAGCAATGTCAAAGAGCCTACCAACAGGAAACTTTAGATGGTTAAAAGAAAACGAACCATTCAAAAATAATAAAGGCTAGATTCTTGAAGTTGATTTTAGCGATCAGAAAGGCCTGCGTAACAATCATAATGATTTACCACTAGCTCAAGAAAATATTCAAATTGTAGATGTTCATATGTTATTACCTTATCTTGGTAAGCTTGAAAAATATGTAATCTATTACAGTAATTTAAAACTGTATGAGAAACTTGGATTGAAACTTGAGAAAATTCATAGAATATCAGAATTCGATGAAAATCCATGGATGAGGCCATACATAGCTCTGAACACAAAAAAAACTACAACAAGCGAAATCAGATTTTGGAAAGGATTTCTTCAAATTAATGAATAATTCTTCATTCGGTATAATGAATGAGAACATTAGAAATAGAGTTGAAGTTATTCTGGTTAAGACTAAACAAAAATTGAGTAGATAAGTTAATAAACCTTATATCAAAGGATTAAAAATATTTTCATAAAGCCTTATAATCTGTCATATGCAAAAACAAAGGCTATAGTTGATACCCCTATTCAAGTAGGGATGAGCTTACTAGTTATAAGCAAGACATCGAGGTATGACTTTTATTACAACTTCATTAGAGAAAAATATTCTGATAGAGCAAAGCTATTGTTCACAGATACAGACTCGCTCTACTATGACATGAAAACCGCTGACTTCTATGAAGATATGAAGGATAATCAAGACTTATTTGACTCATCGAATTGTCCTAAGGATCATTTAATATACTCAAATCTGAACAAAATAGTAAAAGGCAAATGAAAGAAAACACGAGCGGCATTCCCATAGAAGAATTTTAGTTCGAGTAAAGCTGTATTGTTATTGAACATAATGTTCTGTGGCTAAAAAAGGTAAAGGTATAAAGAGAAATGTTATTGAAAGGGATACAACCGTGGATGAATATATGAGAGCATTGAATAATGCGACTATATATAAAACAATGTATAATATTCAAAGTGCTATTCATGAATTGTGTTCGAAAGAAATTAATAAAATTGCACTGAATGGTGACGATGATAAAAGACATATATTAGCTGACGGTATTAATACGCTAGCATTAAACCACTGTAATCCAAGCCTATAGAAGTCTTCATAAAATAATCTAATAAAAAATGATAGTCAAAAATAAAAGAACATCAATAAACTATCCTGAGCTATTATCAACCGATAATAGTGAATATTTAAAGCAGCTGAAATCATTTCTACGTAATGAAAAAACTAGGAGTGACATTTTTTAACACGATGTTAAGTAAATTACCACTGCCATAAAGAAATGCATTTAAAACTTCCCTTCAACAATCAATTTGAGCAAGTTCCAACGGTTCTTTCAATGATAGGCATACCTACTCCTTCTGTTGCCCTGGCACTAAGGTGCAAAAAAGACTGAATGAGTGTTATAGGGGGAGTTAATTAATTGGATAGAGCTTGTATAGATAATTATTTATTCTATAGCGAGCATACAAAAACGTGAGACAGAAACAAGTCTGATGATATCCTAGCGAAGAAAGCGGCTGGGATTGCGATAGATCCTAACGAGCCTGAATGTGTTAGAACTGATGCAACAATAGTTAATGCTATAATGGCTGGAAAAATATATGTAGGTCTTAGAGAATCAAAAAACGTTAGAGTCCACTCACAGAAAAGAGTGGTAAAATTCTAAATCAAATGTATTACAATCCTAAACGCAAATCACGAATTGGTTGGAGTCAAGAAACATACACTCATGATAAACCAATAAAACATAATTTTACCTCAAGAAGAGTCAAGGTAAGAAAGATCGATGATCAATGGCAGGCAGATTTAGTTGACATGCAGAAGTATACAGAAGTATACTTCAAACTGTGATTGATATCTTTAGTAAACATGCATGGGCACTTCATGTACGTAGAAA